CTTGCCATCAAGCGCGCTCTCAACCATAATTCGTTCTCGGGCACCTCGGATATCAATGCTATAGCCACAGTCATTAAGGTATGTTGGAGGGTGTGGATTTTTGCGTTTGTCCGTCCTTCATTGTGAATTGACTTTTGGTTGTTTTGTTTGTTTGCTTGTTTATCCGTTTGTTTGTCTGTCTGTTTGTCCGTTTGTTTGCTTGCTTGCTTGTTTGTTTGCTTTCCTGCCCTGTTACTTTTGTTGCCCAGATTTGGTTCCGCGATCTGCCTCAACAACTCCTGAACGAATTGGATCATGCAACCATTCTCAAGTGCGAAAAAAAGGAGCAATGCATCGAGGCATTACAGCTCGTGACGGAACCTCAGCGAACATTATTGATGTGGTTGCTGGATCTTCTTGCGGACGTCGCATCGCACGAGCGAACCAACCAGATGAATGCCCAAAAGCTCGGTATGTACAATCGAGAAGGCCCTGCAAGTGGGTGTTTGCCAGGTTGCTCATTTCTTGTGGTTTGTGGCACGTGTTGTTTTCTCTACAGCTATTTGCATTGCTCCAAATCTCTTTTCGACGCCACCAGAGGTCGTTCTTCCTCCCCAAGAGTACTTGCGTCTCTCGCAGGCCGTTGTGACCTTTGTTCAGCACCTTCTGACGCATCGAATCGAACGAAAGTAATGGCCTGGTCACGCAGCACCGATTTGGTTGTGTGCTGGTGGAAATGCAGTAATACACACCTCTTTTTTCCAACCGCAGTCTCGCTGTTACGATCTTCCCGCGCCTGGGATGACTACTGAATCATCAAATTGACGAGGAAGTGTCGTTTACTGAGAATACAGTGAAAACTGGCCTTTTGTAACCTGAGCACCACGGTGACCGAAAACCTCCGTGAGGGATTTGAAATTTGTGAAAAAATTGTCAAAATTCAGATCGTGATGTCAAAGTACCAAGCTCGCTGACTTCAAGCCTTGACTCGACAAACCTTTTATGGATGCGATGGAGCTTGCAGTCTTTTTTTTTTTTTTTTTTTTTTTTTTTTTTTGCGGCCGCTGCCTCTTCACACCTGTCATGGATTCAGCTACTCACGCTGAAGCTCAGTACAAGCTTGGATATGTCTAGTTCTGCTGTTTGCAAGAGGGCCCTTGTGGTGCAGTTGAAGAGGCGCTTGAGAGAATACAAATGAAGCGCTCGCTCATTTCTCTGCTTGTTGCGTCACCGACTCCAGTCTGCATCGGCTCCGCCTCCAGAACTTCAAAAAGTTCGAGGACATAACTTTCACCCTGACGCCCAGCCCCAAGATTATCGTTGGCGCGAACGGCTCGGGCAAGACGCAAGTCCTCTGGGCCACTCTCATCTTCCTGCGCGGTCACAACGCTCGTGTCCGCACCTCCCGGTATTGGACAAACCCCCAACCGTTCCTGGTCAAAGAACTCAAAGACCTCTTTGGCGACCCGTTGTTCGTGGACCCGGACTCCGGCGCAGACACGCTCGTTCGAATCCGACCCGATCCTCCTGCTGAGGCCACCAAGCCCGATCAAGCCAAGGCACAAACCAATGCATCGCCTTCTGCTGTGCCCGTCACTGTGGATGTACCGACCGCTGCTGGATCAGCTAAGTCCGACCAAGTCGACGCCGCCAAAGTCAAGCTCGAACCCATCAGAAGGTTCACTCTCACAGGGACGTTCCACGACGCCACGTACCATGGCAAGAGCGAGAACGTCGAGGTGGCGTACTCGCTTGTCAAGGGTTTGCTCCTGGACACGACCCACGAGTCGCTCGCCCCAATCCGCTTCGCCTTCATGCAGCCCACGTATCAGTGGGGCGACCGTGCGCAAGAACTACACAGAGACGAGCCGTTTCTGACCGCTGGCGTTCAGTATCTACGTTCGCGCCTGTTTCAGGCAAAAGACTTTGTGAACGATGGACTCCGTCAGCTCGGTTTCCTGGCCACGGTCGCTGCACCAAACAAAGGTGGACCTGCCATTGCTTCTGTGACCGAGAACGGCGTCACCCTCGACATTGGTGCCTGCGCTGGCTCGCTGCAGAAGATCATTGCCATCCTGACGCTTCTCTACCATCTGACGCCTGCTGCAACTACCGAAGCTGCCAAAGAAGACGCAAGAATTGTCAACAACCAGCACACCTTCACGCAGCGCATCTTCCTCATCGACGAGCTCGAGGCATTGCTCTACGAAAATGTGACAGCCAAGCTCTACGAGTTTCTCGTCAACGCATGCGCCAAGCACGACATTCAGCTCATCGTCGCCACCAACTCGCGTGCCATCATCGAGCCGCGCCTGAACACAAGGCGCGAGGTCTTGTTCCTCACTCCGGATGGCAAGGCCGTCGAGCTGACAGAGGAACTGCCCAAGGACGAGGAGAATCAGCAGTCCCTCTTCCCGATCCTCAACGCTCTCAGCCAAGTCAAGGGCAGCAAGCCACTGCTCGTGTTGGAAGGCGCCAACGACCAGGCGTTCTACAGCAAGTACACGACCCTCGGCCAGCACTTTCAGTTCATGACCACAGCAGGTGCTGTCAAGAAGGAGAGCATCTCGTACATCCTGAGGCAGGCCAACCTCAAGCACGTCTTTATGAGGGACAGCGACATGTACGCCGCTTCGTCCGATCTGCCTGCGGCTCAGGCGCGGATCACGAAACATGTCGGCTCCCCTGTCATCTACACGCAGCTGCCGTGCGTCGAATCGTACCTGCTTTTGAGTGAAATGCTCCAGAACGCCGGCGAGACAGACAAGCAACGCCACCTTGCCCTCGAAGTGATTCTCGAGCACAAGCTGTACTTTGTCACCTCGTTCAAGAGCATGCTCAAGGAGTCGGGTCTCAAGGAGTCTGGTCTCAAGGAGTCGGGTCTGGAGCCCTCGACGATGCCGACGCAGAGAACCAAGGAACAGCTCAGTTGCTTGACCTTTGAGGAGCTCAAGGCGGCCGAGGAGTTAATCCTGTTGTCCAAGGAAGAAAAGGACGAGCTCTTCCGGAAGGCCAAAGGCAAAGGCAGTGCCTCCGAGCCTGCGAAATGCTCCCGTTGGTTCAAGCTTCGGGCGAAGATGAACGCCGACCCGAACGATCCGGAGGCGGTCTGGTCTGCAATGTTCGCACAGCAACAGAAGAGCGCCAATGCTTCGTCAAGCCCACTCGACTCTCTTGCCTTCTGGACCGCGTACGTCAAGATGGTGCACGGCAAGGAGGCAATGGTCTGCGGACCTGATGGAACGCCGACGAGCACCGACGTGATGATTCGCCAGACGCCGTATCTCCATCACAAAGTCCAAGCCCTACTCAATCAAACTGTGCAGGCTGTTCTCAAGGCTGTTTCTGAGTGATTGCTTTGAGCTATCCAATGCCACTTGCTTCCACTGTCAATGTCCTGTTGCTTCATGTTTTCCAAAAATCAAAGACAGTAACATGGTTTAACATTCAAGTTTTCATCTTGTCTATCGCTGATTTCACCACCTGCAACTGACTCTTTATGTACGCCGTTCTAGGGATGCCACTAATAACATACCTTGGTGGTTGGTCTGGTTCCAGAAGCACCTTTTCGATTGTTCTCACCTTGTTTTCCCATCTCATGTCATGCGCTCGGAAAGTTCCATTGAGCTTCTTTCCCTTGCTATCCACTGGTGCATCCAAGGCCACACGCACCTTGTCTCCCTCGTCAAGCAACACGCAGGACTCGCCAGGAGTGCATCTGCTGTAGGGAGGCAACTCCAGCATTGGATTGGGCTTTCTCACTTTCGCCTTTTCGTTCATCTCTGCAATGATTTCAGGGAGCTCATCCACCCACTGTGTGTTTGTAGTGCCACTATCTAGTTCACGCGTGTATTGGCGCTTGAAAATCTCGACGCCAATCTGTCGATTCCTGTTTTCGACCACCGCCTGCTGACGATGCCTGTCTGACTTTGGTCTGACGCGCTCTGCGCCAATGCAAGTGGATGCACACAGCTACATTCGTACGCAAACGGTTCAAGGAACTGCCCAATACATTTGCCCAGAGTACCACCACGAAGGCAAAGTCTCGATCAAAACGGACGTCTACTCGTACGGCATGATTCTTCTCGAGCTCGTTACTGGACAGCCGCCCAGCATCAACCTGATGGCTAACGTTCGACGGGAGCTGAAAAAGAGCCGCAAAATCGATGCAGTGCTTGACAAGGCCATCGATTGGAGCATTCCAGAGAAGGAGTCGGCACATGCCATGGCGACGGATCTTGCGCCTGATTGTCTCGAAACTGCACGAATTGACCGACCATCGTTTGGCGAAATTCTGAGGCGACTGTCGGGGGAAGAAGCTACTGGAACAAACGAGGAGGAAACCATTGAAGGCAGTGATCGTGAGTGCTTGGTCTGTTTCAGCGCCCCGACGAACGCCAAGCTGATGCCGTGCTACCACGCATGTGTCTGTGTTGCGTGTGCTCAATGGATGATCCAACGTCGAGACAAGTGCATGATTTGCCGAGTCCTTCCGAGTTCGTTTCAAGAAGGCACGTACAACCAGACTTTTGTTCAGTGAGCTGCTCTGGGTGCTTGTTGTTTGAGAGTGCATCGTGTTGCATTCTCGTGATGATTTGGTGGATCAAGATTGTTCTTTGTAGCTATGAGGGCTGTTTGCATTGCCATGGCGGCGTTGGTGAAGGTTTATGTGTACAAGTTTGTGATCTTATCATACAGACATGTGAGTAATTGGTGACGCTTCGCCGGGAGAGCTGTGGCATTCTATCAGGCACTCTTGTCGCAAGGGGTTGGAATGATTGCGTCAAATCATGTCAATGCGTTCGCCACGGCAAACATTCTTTGTCCTAACGGGCTTCAGTGCTTTCCAGCTTCACCTTCACGGGTGTAGGTGGAAGTTCAAAGCCATCGAGCGGCGAGCCAAGCTGCTTTGCCATCGGAACGGCAACCGACAGCGGAGCTGGCTTGCTTGAAGACACCACCCGCCTCGCCAGCCAGATGCAAATGAGTGTCAGGGCGGTCACCAAGCCGGAAGCGAGTACCAGAACAAGATACAGCAGGCGGAGCAACCTGTTGTGCTGCTCGAAGAGCCAATGGCCCAACCACCCAAAGGAAACCAACCCAAACAACAGCCTGTGAAAAATACCCCTCGACGTGGTCCAGCAAAGCTCAAATGTACCTACATCATGTTGCAGCTGCGATATTTGCCAATCAGTTGTGCCCGGTGCTTGCGACTCGGTGAGATGGAGCTCCAATTTGTCGAGTCGAGGCTCGAAATCGTTGCGAAGGTCGTGAGTGGATTGCATCTGAAAGGATGTGCGGGCATCACCAAGAGCAAATAAGAGCCAGCAGGGTGAGCATTACAAAAAGAAACAACTGTACAACAAAACAACACAATCAGGCTCGAGCAATCGCAGGTTACCAAACGCGCAACAGTCTGCTGCTCCAACTCGGTCACGCGAGTATTCAGCGCAGTGAGTTGAGAGAATACATCTCGCATTCCTTCGCTGAGCTTGTCGAGATACTTGTGACTCAATGTCATGTTCAAATCCATGGACTTGATTTGCTTGAGCAACGTCGCCATTTGGGATTCGTGCCGCAGGAAGGACGCCAAGCTGTTCACACCGATCGCATCGGCTTGGGACCGCAGAGCCTGGGGCGATGTAAGCTTTTGCTCGAGTTGAGTGGAATGAGAATTATGTGTTTGGGAGTCCGAGGCAAGGGCGAGCGCAGCGACGGCGGCAGCATTTGAATCGTGATTCGATCGCGCGGAAGGTAGAGAAATGGAGGACGAGGAGCGTGTGAGTTTGCTGCCAGCGTTACTCAAACTACATTGGTTGCAAGGTTGGTCGTGGGGCGACCTCCGAAGCATTGCATGTTCGACAACCTGGGCTGGCGTGGAACGATCGAACAGCAACTGCCTCGGAGTGGTTGGATCGCAACGACGGACTTTGCCTGTGCGAGCGCTGCCAGGTGAAGGGGGGATCGTGATGGTGTCGGTCGATGGTGGTGTTGGGCCTGTCGAAGCGCCAGATGGCGATTCTAACTCGGCATGACTGCCGTCCGACGTGGCGATAGATGCTGATTTGGTCTCACTGTCATCGTTTGAGGAAGAGACAGCAGCTGCGATCGTTTCGCTGGGAAGAGGATCCACAAACACAGTCATCTGTGGCATGGGGAGGGAGGCGTCTGCAGCAACTGCATCCGAAGAGGAAAATACGAGATGGACACTGTGATCGGCCTCTGGTTCGACAACTGGCTTGTTCGTGAAAGGAACCGAACTCTCGTCCGAGCCGGACTTGAGCTCTGTAGTCTCCAGAGCACACTCGGCCACATGCGAATCGTCTTCTGCGCAAAGCTGCTGGTGTTGTAGTTGTTCGGGTTGCGGCCGGGACGAGGGCTTGTCGTCGGCACTTTGTTCTGCGGGTGCCCCCGCAACAAACACATCTTCATCCACTTCAAATTGTTGAGGTACTGGAAACGGCTCATCCTCGTACTCATCTTCAAGATACTCGTCATCATCCTCTTCATCGAGGACGCCACAGACAGGTGCTTGCGCGTTTGGCTGGGAGAGGTCTCCCAGTGGCTGTACAGCATCAGGGTCTGTCGCAATATCGACTGCCGGCTCTGCATGCACAAACCTGCTACTGTTGATACCGCTATCGAGTGTATCGTGGTCGTGCATGTCTGGGTCGAGCGCATGATCGTCGGCCTCGTCTTCTGCCGCTTTGCGATCGGCCAGCTCGGCCTGGTAAATGGTGTTTTTGAATTCCTCCATCATGGTGGTACCATACACACCCACTTGGGTGAGCAGGCAGTAAAATTCACTGCCGTGGTAGGAAAGAAATTCAAACTTGACATACTTGGCCCAGATGAGCGGTGATGCGACCTCAAAGCGCTGAGTGCCGCGCGGCTCGTTGGCAGTAAAGGTGCCAAGCGGCACCCAGCTCTTGACTGGGAAGCGATCGCTGACAGAAACTCGAAAGTCCTTGACGCGCGATGAGAAGAGCTCCCACGAACTAATCTCGACGGTGTCGACCAGCAAGTCCTCACAAAGCTCAATCACCACCCACTTTTGCGGTGCCGAACATGGGTTGAGCATGTAATAGTCCCGGTTATCCATGAGCAGCGCGGAGGCGTGCTGTGCCTCGGCATTGTTGCTGAGCACCTTGGCCGTGCAGTCGGCAGAGGCAAAGTTACTCCGGGCTGCTGCTGCTGCCACCGCGTCATGCTCGTCCTGACTAGCATGGTCCTGGTGCGTTGCAAGAGCATGTTGCTCTTGCTCTCGCTGCCGCTTTTCGCGAGCCTCTCTTCGCTTTTGGCGCGAAATTGACAGCTGAGCGCTGCGCTCTTTATCGAGTGCCAGTTGGGTATCGCGCCACTCTTCGAACGTAGGGAGATGATGCGACTCGAGGGGTGGTGCAGCTGGGCTAGAAGCGGTGGGAACAACAGCAGATGGTGGTGGCTGGGTGGATGGTGCTGGTGTGGCACTGCTGAGTGACGGAGTGGGTGCAGTTGTCACTTTGCTTGTTTCTGCTTCTGCTTCTGTCGAGCTGGTTTCTGTTGGCTCTGCTGGGTCACTTGATGATGTGCTTGCGTGTGGTGGCACATCAATCACCGTGCTTCCAGTGGTAGCAACAGGTGCGGTCGGTCCCACGCCCGATTCGACCAGTGACGGCGGCGTATCCCTATGCAACACCAAAGCCCATCAAAACGAAACGTAGACAACGCGAGTGAGATCCAGTGCTGTTTGCGAAACGGAAGTGCAGGACGAGAGAGTTTGGTTTTACCGCAACGCTTCGTCGGCAGCGGGCATTGGAGGGACGGCGTCTTGCCCTGACAGCTGCTGCTGCCGCGGCTCTTGACTTGCTAGTGCTTCGTCTCTAGGCGCTGACGGTGCGTCGGATGGAGCAGAGTCTGCCTGCTCGCTTGAGCTTGGTGTTGGCGTGGCTTGCGCTTGCCCTGGTTGCTCGTCCGCGATCGCTGCGTCGCGTAATGTCGCGTCTGCTGCAGTAACTGGCTCGTGTGGCGGCGTTGTTGTCTCACTGCTCGCTCTTCGCAGAGTGGACGGCACTGACTGTGGTGGTTCCACGTCATCGTCCTTGACAGCCACTCTTGCAGCCTCGTCCTCGTGCGATGGTGGCTGCTGAGCAACGGCATCGACAGCAGTGGTCGCTTCGGCTGCCGGTTGCGCGCTCCTGACAGCAGCAGACTCTGTGTCTTGTGCGACGCCTCCGATCGCGGCAACCGCGCTGCCCACCACCAGCACCGAGACCGCGAGTAGCACACAGAGTCCGATTGCTCGCATTTGGAAGTGAGTGCGCGCCGTCTCTTTTGTTTGTATTCAAAAGACTAGACGCTCTTCCGGTCCCGGTTTTTTTGCATGTTTCCTTCATCTACTTTGACATTACGCATCAACTGATCACCATCGTCGTCGCTCGGCTGACGTTGATGCTGCATGATGATGACCCAAATTGCTCGATTCTTTTCGATTTTTCCAGTCTTTTTTTTTTTCTTTTTTTTTTTTCTTTTTTCTTTTTTTTTTTTCTTTTTGTTTGTTTGTTTGGCTTGTGCGTTGATCGTTTATTTTTCGTCTCCTCGGCTTTGACGACACTTTTTTCCCCCCACACCAAAAAAGCGTCAAATGTCAAACAAGTCCGAAGGGGTGGAAAACCTCGCGTTCGAGGTCCTCGGCAAGCTCAAGAACTGCGGTCCTCAATGGGAAACTGTAACCGTCCCTTTCCTTTCCTTTGTTTTTTTTTTTTTTTTTTTTTTTTTTTTCGACTTGTCTCTCGTTCGTCCAACGCTTCGAATGCGCTGTCGTGTTGAACCGAGCAATTCATCTCGTTAAAGGGGGGGAAAGCGAGTCGACAACTTTGCCTGTCAGCGCACTTTTGCAACAGCGAAACCCCGCTTGCAGATCTGTGCTTGCTGTGGTTGTTGTGGGTTGTTGTTGTTGTTGTCGTTGTGATTGTTGTGATTTTGCGTTGTGGACAATCGCGAGCCGCCAACTCGTCGCCCCACAAAGTGGCTGCGTTGAGTGACTGGCCATTGATTGGTCAAGCTTGCGCTGCTTGGTCGGTGGTCGGTGGTCGGTGTGGTCGGTGTTGGTCGGTGTGGTCGGTGTTGGTGTGCTGAATTCTCTCTTACGCAGTCGCGCTGTCCATTCCTCGCCCCGCGGCTCTCACCTTTCGCCACCATCCAAACCCCCACCCCCTCCTTCGTCTGCACTGGCTTTCTGGTCTTCCCAGCCATGCTGTTTTGCGCCACAGCGTGCGACGGTCAATCTCAAGAGCAGATCTTCCGACCTTTTTTTTTTTTTTTTGATCTTTTCTTGGACTTTCCATAGTGATCTTTTTTTTTTTTTTTTTTCCCTTTGTCCTCGTTTTCCCACCCAAACACCCGAACGCCCGACGTATCCAACCCGACCCCCTTTTTGCGTATCTTTGCTTCGTTTGCTACCAGCAATGTCCACCATGGCAGTTCAGTTGCTCAGTTGTGGCCGAGTTGCAGACTGAAATACGCAATCGGCTGACATCAAATTCAACACAAAAAAAAAAAAAAAAAAAAAAAAAAATCAACCTTCAGCTTCAGTTTCAGTTTAGGAATATGTTTGGAGATTCAAGAGTTGTGTTGCTGATTTTGTTTGTTTCAAGTTGCATTGTGCTGTGTCATCCTGTCTCATTCTGTCTCTGCTTTGATCACGCTCAGTTTGTCAAAGCCACGACGCGCTACCATGACTCGATCAAGGAATCGACAAAGGCTTCAATGCAATTCTTGGAGGCGTTCGCAGTCGTCGCACAACTCGCGTCCTCAGCCAGGGGCGCCACGGGCGATCTCGGCGTTGGCTTGCATCAGGTAGGTGAAAAATGAGAAGCGGAGGCGGGGGGGGGGGAGCCGATGGCTCCAAGAGACCAATGTCTCACTTTTTTTTTTGTCCAATGTTTTGTGTGTTTGCTGACACAGATCAGCGAAGTGCACCGCGAGATTGAGTCAAGGCGCGATGCGATCGCCAACACGCTCATGAGCGAGTTGATCATCCCGCTGAAGGAGAAGATTGACTCGGACAAGAAACAGGTGACCAAGCTCGAGTCGCACTTCACCTCCCAGCTCCGAGACTTGCGTAACAACATCAAGAACGCCGAAAAGGAGTCTGAGAAGGTTTCCAAAGCCGCCAAAAAGACGGCTGGAGGTGGCTCGACTCTGCAACAGGTATTTCGTTTGCTTCATTTCGTCGGGGGGGGGGGAGTCGACTCTGAGTGTGCCTATCTGATGCCAACCGTACCTTGTTCTGTCGATTCATCTTCCCTCGTTTGATGCCAGTCCCTGCAAATGATCACTGAGCGCACCAAGGAAATGGACGTGGCTCGCCAAGACATTCTGCGGCAGGTTTTGGTCGAAGAGCGCAAGCGCTATTGCTTCTTGCTCATGCACTACGCCTCTGTCATCAAGTCCGAGGTTGACACGTATCGCTTTGTATGTTGTGCCAAACGTTGCTGACAGTCTCTTTTGAGCGTTTGCTGGGGGGGCATGATCTCATTGTGCTTGTGTTTTGCTTCCTGTCCAGTCTGCGGATTCGCTGCAAAACAACCTTGCGGAATGGTACAAGCTGGCCGTGTCGCCTGACGAGTTGCCAGAAACCAGCGAAGCCCTTGTTCGCGTGAGTCGTTGCTGTTCCGTTTGAAAGCGAATCCCATTGCGTGGGTCGTTCTCCTTTTCCTGCTGCTCACCTTCGAACAACAAAACTCTGAGAGCAGTTTGAAGAACGCACGTTCGTTCCTTTGGCTGCAGATGGATCAGGACCGGTGCAGAAGCCGTACGACCCCATTTATGACTCGGATTTCAACTTGGGTATTCAGCGAAATCCACGCACACCGGCTCCTCCGCCGAACGCAGGGGGCGGTGGTGGTGGTCCCCCGCCTCCGCCTCCGCCGCCTGGCATGGGCGGTCCTCCTCCTCCTCCTCCTATGCAGCAGCAACAACAGCAGCTCAGTCGCCAGTCCAGCGCTTCTATGGGGGGCGGCCCACCACCGCCGCCGATGATGCCTGGCATGGGTGGTCCGCCGCCTCCTCCGATGCAGCAGCAGCAACAGCCCCAGCGCCAGTCAAGTGGCCCACCTGGGCCGCCAAGCGCCCAAGTCGCACGCACTCCGAGCATGCAGCAGCCCATGCCTCCGGGTGGACTGCGCGGTTCGCAACAAAATATCGCGCCACCCACAATGGCCATCCCGCCGCCACCTGTGCGAGGCGAGCCCATGGTCCCTGCCGCCCCTGCCGCCCCTGCCGCTCCGCGAGCGCCCGCCGTCCAAACTCCGCCGGCGATTGTTCAGCCCCCGCCGCCTCCTACTCCGCCGGCTGGTCGCCTGATGGTTGCCGTGTTCAAATACGTGGCAGATGGCGACGACAAGCTTGGTCTCACTGAGGTACGCGTTCAATTGCAGTTGTCTATTGGAACAGGGCTGCAGTTTTTTTTCTTCTGGTTTTTTTTTTTTTTTTGTTCTTTGTTTGTTTTGTTTTGCTACCTCCCCGACCCACGCCTTCCCTCACTGAAGTTTGATTTTTTGTCTCCCTCTCTAATCGCTTGTGGCTGCTCTTGTCGTAGAATGACGAAATTACTGTCGAAGGAGAAGAAGAGGACGGCTGGATGTTTGGAACGCTCGTCAAGTCGGGCCAGAAGGGCTGGTTCCCTGCTGCCTATGCTGTGCGTAAGGCGAGCGGTGGCCCTCCACCTCCAACAGCGACTGCTACTCTTCGTGCGCCAAGCGTCGCTGCAGTGCCTCCGCCGCCTGCGCGCGAGGAGGAAGAGGACCGTCCGCTGCCCGCTGCACCACGGCCCGCGTCCGCCACCGGCACTCTTTCCCGCAACTCGGTCGCTCCGCCTGCCATGGCCAAGCCTATGGCACCCCCGGCCACCATGCCGAAGGCCGCTTCGACTCCCCCGCCTCCTGCCGCGCCAAAGATGCCCCCAATTGCCATGAAGGCTCCTTCAGCTGCTGCCGCTGCTCCACCAGCCGGCGGCGGCATGCCGACGCCACCCAAAATGCCCCAGATGGGCACGATTCGCGGGTCGGTCGCAGGGCCACCGGCCCCGCCAATGCCTCCAATGGGAGGCGGTGGCATTCCGCCGCCGCCGCCAATGATGGGCGGAGGCCCACCCATGCCTCCACCTGCCCCCAAAGCTCCTCCTGCAGGCAAAGCAGGCAAAAGCGGCGGCGGCGGTGGCGGCGGCGGCGGCAGTGGCGAGCGTGGCGCTCTTCTCGGCTCCATTCAAGCAGGCACCAAATTGAAGAAGACCGTGACGAACGACCGCTCGGCAGCACCCGGTGTGGGCCGAGTCGTCTAATTTGTGCATATTCCTGTCTCGCTGCGGGCCGCGAGAAACCCTCAAAGTTACCCCTTTTTTTTTGCATCATTGTTATTTCTCTGTTCCTCTGTACCTGAGATCTTTCTCTTGTGCGTGATTTGTTGTCTCTGTGTGCGCTGCTACTTTTGCCAGCGTTCCCTTTTTGTGGCGTGCGTTGTTTCACTTTTTGTGTGTGTGTGTGTTTGCGTGAGTCTTCAGCGCCGCCGTTGTTCTGGTTGTTTGCTTGTTTGACACATTGAATTCTTTTGGGATCAGTTTTTTTTTTTTTTTTTTTTTTTTTCTGTTTTTCCATCAAAATGGCGGAAATTTCACTCGAGTCAAGTGACGCTGCGTTGCTCGACTCGACCACTGCAACGGATGCCGATGCTGACGCTGCTGCAGTGCCAGTGCTGAACAACAACAACGACGGTGATGATGATGATGATGCAGTTGAGTCAGCGACCGAAGTCAGCGAGAGTGTGAGCAGCGACGTGGAGACGCGGGAAGCAGAGCCGACGATTCAGAGTGACGGCGACGACGTGGTGGAGACGCAGGAAGCTAAACCAGCCTCAGCAGCAGCAGCTGATGAAGCATCAGATGAGCCGCAGTCTGAGAACAACGATCGCCCCGACGACGTCGACACGGACACGGACGAGGCAGATGCAGACTGGATTACCGTCAAACCGCCGCCAGCCGAGGAAGTTGCGTCCCAGTCCGACAAGCCATCCGACGATGATGAGCATGACGAAAAAGATCAAGAAGATCAGGAAGAACAAGATCAAGCAGGCCGTCCAGGAGAAGCCCAGGCTGCAGTCACCGTCCCAGAACCAACCGCCACTGTGGCTCCAGCTGCTCAGGCAGGACCAGCAAAACTCGTGGAAGTCGCTCGGCCGACCATCTCCGAGTTCAAGTACAGGCAGGTCGACCTCGACGCTGCAGTCTCGACGGCGGTGCTGGCTGCAGTTGCCACTGCCCAGGCTGCAGGTGCGCTTGCTCAGGATGAAATTGCGCGACTCTCGGCCAAGGTCTCAGAGCTGACCAAGGAGAATGCTCGGCTCGCTTTTGCAGCCACGCACGAGAAGAACGAGCGCACTGCGCACGCAAACACGATTGCTGTGCTTCAAGAGCAGGTCGGTCGGTCGTGAAATCGTGATGATTTTCAGAGTTGTGGTCGATTGTTGTAGATTGTTGGATTCTGACCTGGCTTTGTTTTCTGCTGCTGTATACTTTAGACAAACGCGCTCAGCCGCACGCTCACCGAGCACCGGGATGCAGGTGCTCAGATGGAGCTGAAACTCTCATCGCTGGAAGTGGACCTGCACCATTCCGAGCGGATGGTGGAGTCGCTGCAAACGCGCGTGTCCGAATTGGAAGGCGAGCTCCAGGACGCCCGTCAGTCGGAAATGCTCATGGCCGACCGTGCAGCCAACACGAGCAGTGTTCCATTCCTCTCGTTCTCTTCGACGTCCATGTTGCCCGCTGGCTCCACCACCAAGGCCCAAACTACTGGTATGGCGTCCTCGACGTCCTATGGATCGTCCGTGTACTCGTCCACGTCGCTGCTCTTGGACTCGACAGCCACCTCGTACTCGGATCTCCTTGCCTCTCTGCGACCGGAATCCAGCTCGGGAGCTTCGCCGTACGACACCATGATGTCGGAAGTGGACTATCGCGCTGATCTCCGCCTCCTTGAGGAACGCGCCAGCATGGCCGAAGAACGCCTGGCCCATGCCACCGAGCAAGTCCGCCTCTTGGAGACGCGCAACAAAGAGCTCACGAATCGCGTGCTCGCGGCTGGATCGGAGCAACAGCAGACCATCAAGGCCGAAACCCATTACACCATGCTTCGCCTGGCCGAGGAGCGCGCCCTGGCAGCAGACTCCCGTGCTTTCGCCATGGAAAAGCAGTGTGCAGAGGCTCGCCGCGAGGTGGACGCCCTTCACGATGCTCGCGCGGCCGAGCGCAACGAATTTTCGAACGAGCTCGACCGAGCTCGCGTGGAAATTGCCCGTCTGTTGCACACCATCACTGTCAGTCAAGCAAAGGAAGCCAAGGCGGTCTCGGCGGTCGCCACGGCCACGTTGCAAGTGCAGACGGCCTCTGCCGAGGCAGCAGCGGCCAAGGACGCCGCACAGCGTGCCAAGCAAGACGAATCCGAGATGGCTGCAAAGATTGCCCGCGAGCGCGAGCTTTTGGAGATTGCGCACGCCCAACTCGAGCAGCAGCGCCATCATGTGGAGGCTGCCAAATTGGCCGCGGCTGCGCCTCCGCCCCGTCCCACTCCCAAGCCCAAGCCGGTCTTGGCCACCAAGCCGCAGAAAGCCGCCGAGGACACTGAAGCCAAAGTTGTTGCCGCCGTCCGCGCTGCCACGTCGGAATTGAACCAACTCACCGCCGTCACCTCCCAGCAGCGACCAACCCCACCTGCCACAAAGCCGACCACCACCAAGCCAATCACAAAATCCAAGCCGTGGCCGCCGCCCGTGGCTACAACATCCGATGGCCCTGACCAGCAAGTGGATTCTATCGCTCAGCCTGATGAAGCTCATGCAAAGACTGTCGCGGACGCTCGCGAGCCATTACCCTCAGAGCCTGCGCATGCACAGGAGGAGAAGAAGGCAGATTTGGTGGTGCCTATTTCCCCAGCTGCGACGCAAGAACATGCGTTGGCTGCTGCCCCCGCTTTGACTGTCGAACCGACTGGAGCAGTATCCGAGCCGAGCGTACCCGTGCAAGCGGCTGCTCCGGGTTCCAACGAGCCTGAAACGATCAGCTCGCCAAAGCTCGTTGCTGATTCGACTCTCGACGTAGCAGGCGCCACCGAGTCTGAGTCTTCGGATGGTCCTTCCGATCCAGTCGCAGCCGATGCCGTTGCAGCCGGTACCGTTGAGGCTGCACCAGTTGCTGCTGATCCAGTTGCTGCTGTTTCCGTTGCGGCTGATTCCGAGCCGCAAGTGCACGAGTCCGCTGCTACAAAGCTCAATGAACCCATCTTGAACGATGTCGAGCAAGCAAATGTTCGCTTGCCAGAACTGGACATCCCTCTCCCTTCCTCTAGTGACGCAAGTGCAACTTTATTGGACGATTCAGTGGCTCCTCCTCCGCCAGAGCCAACCGCGCCAAGCAGCCAGCTTGCATCCAAAGAATCCGCCACGAAGGCCGACGATGACTGGTCCAGCGACGACGACGAACCCTCTGGAACACCCGCCGCAATTCCAACAAGCAGCCCAGCCGTGCCAACCGCAAGCGCCACGAAATCGCCCGTCAAGCCGCCTGCCCCGAAGCCCAAGCCAAAGCCAGCGGCCTCCAAAATCCCTGCACCTGCGCCTGTTGCGGCCGTCGCTCCTGCACCTGTGCCAACTGCTCCGAAGACGTTTGCTGGAGGTTTCCTCTTTGACACTGGCGCTGTGGATGAAGACGACGCCATTCTGTTTGCGCCGCGCGCCACGTCCGAGCCAGCACCCAGAGCTCGCACAGCGTCTGTCGCCAGCTCCACACTTCCCACTGCCTCAATGGGCGACTTTGGAACTTCGGATGCGAGTTTGGAGACGGAGCTGTCGGAAAAGGATCGTCCGTTTGTGGACATGATGAAGACGCGTGCGCGGCCACCCAGTACCCGTCGCCTGCCCTCTCGCCCGCAGTCGACCATTCTCAATCCGACCTTTGACTAAGGGAGGGAGGGGGGTTGAAGCGAGGTGGAAGGTCGCGGCATACTTTGGATTTGCACCGAATTCGTGCATGTTGATGTTTGTTGTGGTTGTTGTGGTTGTTGTCAGTGCTGACGATCCGCTTTGTTTCTTTTCCTTCTTACGTGCATGGGGGCTTTTTTGCAGCAACAGGTTGCTCTCCGTTTTGTCAATGCATCTCTTCTCGTACTCTTTTTGTCAATTGCATTTCAATGTTCACTGAAAGTGTTTTATTGCGCTAGTACACCCGATACACATCAAAATCATTCGTAACTATTTCCAGCATCATCGCATCACGATCCAGTCGTTGTTTTGTTTTTTTCCCTCTTTTGAGTTTGTCGCAGCAACCATGAGCAGTGCTGCTGACATTCCGCTGCTGCCTGGCGAGGAGCTCGTCACTTCAGGTCCGTCCCAACGCCAACCCCCAACCCCAGCTCGGCTCCCAGCTCGGCTCCCAGCAGTCGTCCTCTTTATCTCATTTGACATGACTTGTTGCTCACTTGACTGCGTCTGCACTCGGCTCGTCTCGTCTTGGTCCGTTTACGTCTCTGTTCACGCTCACAGCCGCAGAGATCACCCATCTCTGCCCCTTCTCTGGCGCCCTCCACGGCGTCCTCTACGTCACCAACTACAAGATTTACTTTCGCGAGCAAGTCGACAACAATGTGAGTCCAACAATGATGATCGAGCGACGCACGCACAAAAAAAAAAAAAAAAAAAAAAGCTTTGGCTGGAAATGCATTGGAAAATCAGCCTCAATGGAAATCCCATACAATGGTGAAAACTCACTTCTGGTCCACTCATTACTTTCTACCCAGCGTGTGGCGACAACCGTTGAGACGCCGCTTGGCCTCATCAGCCGCGTCGACAAGATTGGCGGACAGTCGTCGCGAGGCGAGAACTCGTACGGACTGGAATTGCACTGCAAGGACATGCGCAACCTGCGATTTGGCTTCTCCACACGCAGCTCCAACCGCGGGCAGGTCTGCGACGCCATTATGGATGCTGCATACCCGCTGTCGGCCAGCACGGCGCCTGCAGGCGGAGCTGCCACTGGTTCGACGGGTGGTGCTGCCGCCGTCCCCGCCCTGCGCAATGTGTTTGCATTCTCCTTCCGCCAGACCTTCCCTGAAGACGGGTGGAGCGTGTACAACGCGCAAGCCGAGCTGGAGCGACAAAAGCTGCCCAAGACCTGGCGCATCAGCAAGGCGAATGAGAACTATGCACTCTGCGACACGTATCCTTCCGTGATTGCCGTCCCGAGCTCGGTCAATGACGACTTTTTGGCCCGTGTGGCTGATTTCCGCAGTCGTGTATGTCCTCATTTTTGTGTTTGTGTGTTTGTGCCACTGTGGAAGGAGTGCTGCAAGCAAAGCGAACTCACTCTGATGATGATTGGTGAAAATTTGACACACACACAAAAAAAAAAAAAAAAAAGGGCCGGCTTCCCATTCTCTCGTGGATCCACCCTGACAACCACGCTACCATCACACGATGCAGTCAACCTCGAGTCGGCGTTGCTGGCAAACGCAGTCCCGAGGATGAGGCCATGCTTCAACACATTATCGATGTGAGCTTTGGACGCTTTTTTGTGTTTTGCAGAACAGACTTTGTCGTGTGCCCCTTTTGTTGCTTGGATTGGCAGCATCGGATGGCTCATTTACTCGTACTTATTCTCTGGTAGGCAAACGGCAAGGTTGGAACCTTGTGCATCATGGACGCTCGTCCTCGGTTGAGCGCCATGGCCAACCACGCCAAGGGTGCTGGCTTTGAAAATGAAGCTGTTTACCAAAACACAGAGCTCGTACGTAGTGCAGCGGAAGGCTTGCGGCTGAGTGGGTTTCATGTTTGGACCGCTCTCTCATCCACAAACAATCGCATGAATGTTTCGCAGGTTTTCTTGAACATTGGCAATATCCACGCCATGCGCGAATCTCTCAAAAAGCTCAAGGACATGTGCTTCCCAACCATCGACAACAACAAGTGGTTGTCCAACTTGGAGGCTTCTCGCTGGCTCGGTATGGCAACAATTTTTTGAGCCTTTTGTAATCTCGTTTCACTCTGCCTGCAATACTGACCTGTTCTCCCTCCAGAAAATATCTGCTTGCTTCTTGCTGGAACATCACGTATCGTGGATCTGATTGAGCGGTACGACGTGGCCCGCTGCCTTCTGTCATCTTGCGTTTTCTCATTTTGGCATGAACGTTTTGTTTTGTCGCGCGTAGCTCGGGTACTTCCGTCCTCGTACATTGCTCGGATGGGTGGGATCGCACTTCACAATTGTGCTCGCTTTCGATGATGATGCTTGATCCTTACTACCGCACCATCAAGGGATTTGAGGTGCGTCCGTCGGCTTCTTCTCCTGCCTGGACCTTGAAGATTTGTTGCTCATTTTCTTTTCGTTTGCTTCTTGTTTTTTCCTTACTTTGATTTCGAAAGGTGCTCATCGAGAAGGAGTGGCTGTCAATTGGCCACAAGTTTGGTCAACGACACGGTCACGGTGACAAAAACCACGGCGACGAGCAGCGGGCTCCGAGCAGCGGGCTCCGATCTTTGTTCAATTCCTGGATGCCGTGTGGCAGATTTCGCAGCAGTTCCCCGGCGCATTCGAATTCAACGAGCGAATGCTCATCGCCATTGCTGATCATTGCTACTCGTGCCTCTACGGCACCTTTTTGTACAACAGCGAAGCCATTCGTGTCCGCGAAGACATCAAGCAGCGCACCCAGTCACTGTGGTCGATGATCAACTCTGCGCCCTATGGCGAGTTCACAAATCCTCTGTACGCCCCTTCGATCCAGGAGCACGTCCTCTCGCCCATTGCCAGCTTGCGGAAGCTCAGGGTCTGGACTGCGTATCATCTGCGCTGGAATCCGCGCATGCAGAAGCAAAATTTTATCGAACTGCGCAACATGTAAGTGAATTGGTGAAGGCCATTTTGCTTTTCGATTTCGTGCGTTGTTTTCACTTTGACCTCCTTCCCACCTCTTGTGTTAGGCAACTCGCGGAGATGCGCGAAGCATTGAAGAGCATGGTGGACAACTTGCAACGCCGACTCGACGGAAATGTGCAAGCGTAATGCGCGTCGACATGGATGCCACTGCAGGCAAGTGGGGAAGGAAGTGTCTCGGTGATGTGTTTTGTGCAGACGTGACTGCGTGTGTAAAAAGTGCCTTTGTTGTCATTGAACGAGTGTATTAGTCATCAATGTGTTGAACAAAACGGAAATGGTTTGGTGGGCGCCACAGCTAGTGTTCAGGCTGGCCAAGAATGGCTTGTAAACTCTCGTACACATCAAGCAAACTGATGAGTCGAATGCGCAACTCGGCAACTTGCACTGCATACTGCGTCGCTATTCACAACAAGTCAGGGAGACCAAACAAGTCAGTAATGCAACGGATCGGAGAATCTGATCCCAATCACGCCAAACAACCAGATGACGAGGCGCAGTACCTTGCGTAAAGTTCGCCTGTGCGTCTTTGAGATAACTTGGAGTCAAGACGCCAAACCAGCGCAACGGATCAGCAAAGCCAGGAGCAACTTTGGGTGGTTTGGTTGCCGGTTTTGATTCCGAAGCAGATGCTGCAGCGGCACTCGATCCACCATCCTTTCGCTGACGCAGTTGACCCTTATCTTGATCGGCGGCATCTGTCGTGGCTGAAGAAGGCGGCTGGCGCGAGATCGCCTGGACAGAAACCAACGGCGCGGCGAGAGCGGCAATGAATTCTTTCGGAAGCTGAGAACGCAGCTCTGGATGCAGTTCGAGTGTACCTGTTGGGGTGGCATCAGTGTCTTCTTTCTGCTGGGACTGCTCGTCCATCACAACACCCAGTCCTGGTGCGATTGTTGCAGGAAATTGTGGCGGGTAAATCCAGTTCGAGCCCATTGCATGACGCGCCTTGGTGATTGAAAAGTGTCCCTGTTGTCATAGCGAATGGTATGGTGTGTGGATTTACAAAACCAAACAAAATAAGTAAACGGCAGCCTCCGACTTTGAACGAGACACCTCAGATCAGCTCAGACGGAAACGCCTATTGGATTCGAGTCGAGCTGGACCATACACTCGACGGCAACAAAAAAAAAATTCCCAAAAGATCACTGTACTGTGATTTGCATGTTGTTCAAGAGTCTTTACCTCTTTGAAGCTGCCGAGCAGACTGTCGTGCATGCTGAGGTACGCGTCGAACGTGTCCATGAAAGCGACAATGACCGCGTCTCGCGTCGCCTCAAGCGTTGCTGCAGGCACCGACCGCAGCGCCTCAACAAGCAACGATGATGATGAGGATGAGGATGAGGATGAGGATGGGACTTGGCCGTCGTCCGTCGACCGCTTGGTCAGGTTGGTTGCGACTTTTTCCCCGAACAACGACGACGGCGAGGTGGAAGCTGACATGGCGCTTCTGAGAAACAATGTGGACTGAGCAATCAATCAAATAGACAAAAATGCACATAGTGCAACTCATTCAATGTACAATTGACTTGATCACACCTGAATTAGAAGCCAAGCGAGCACTCATCTTTCAGCCATTCGTTCATTCAGTCATGTCGGTCGCGATCGATGACCGGTTTCCGGTGGAGACACTCGTCGCGCGGAATGGCGAGGTGTTCCAAGTTGCGATTGCTGCTGTAGCTGCACGACCAACACTCAGAGACGTCATCACGACTTTGCACCTTGTGCTGTCGGCGCCAGACACAACGTCCGTCGCGTATGCAGAGCAGGTCCGCGATTTGCCCACCGACTTTCCGCTCCTCTACAACGACAGCGTGTTTCTCGAGAGTCGTGTTTGGATGGTCTTCCGGGCGGAGGACACGGCCAGGCAACGGCTGCTGGGTTCGATAGCGGTGCATGTGCCGCCAGCAACGGCATCGACCGCACGTGCGCACTCGGCCGAGACAGTCGTTGCGCAGCCCGCCGCACACCTTCCAGAAGATGGCGCCTCTCCGTCGTTGCATGCCTTCTTCTTGGACGACTCGATTCGCGCGGCCGGGCTGGGAACGCAGCTCCTCGCGCGCGCGCTCAACTACGCCGACGCCCACTCTGACCAGCTCTACCTGTACACGCTCCCGACCATGATGCCGGCGGCTTTGTCGCTGTATCAGCGAAATGGATTTGTGATGCACAAGCAGATCGATACGGACTGGTTCCGTACATGGCGGATGGTGCGAACTCGGCCAAAACCCGCCACCAATCCGGCAGATCTGAACGAGTAGGGAACGAGCGGGCGCGTCTGCTCTGAATTGATTGGGCTCTGTACTGTAGTTGTATTCCTATAAACTGTTACCGAAAGCCGCCGGACTCGAGAAAATGCTCCCATACAGAGAAAAGGTGAACTATTTAAATTCGATTGTTTGATCATTCAAAGAACACTGCATTGAGGGGCAGAGCGTTCTTTTGTCATATTGGTTTTTGTAGGAGTCGGATCGATCCGATATTGCTTCAATGTCGGCCTGTTTCTGCAAAAAAGAGAAAAAAAAACCACACATTGTTTTCCTCTCATCAGCTTGACACAGATCATGATGAATGTGATTCTTACAGGAATTACAAAACAGCTGATGAACCATCACAACATTTCATCAAGAGGAAGTGTCTGCGTCGCTGGTGCTATCTTCGGGAGGGAGAGGATAGCTCCAGTCAGCGAGGTAACGCCACTCAGAATCGGGTTCGCATCGAGACCCGTCTCCATGATGTACGTGATGTGATGAAGTGCAAGATCGAACCCACGACGCAAGTTGACAGCCGTCTGGACGCGGTTGGCCTCTTGAGCCCACTCGGGAAAGTTGTCAAGCTGCAGGACGATTCTGAGAATAACCTCCTCTGCTTTACGGAGGATTGCACTGCGGAGCCTGCCACTGAGTTTGATCTGTGAAGTAGGCGGCGGAATCATCGAACGCGAGCTAGCGGCCTCGTCGCGGGAGCGGAGGGAAGCACGAACGAGCGATTCCCACTCGTCCTCCTCGGAACTGGGGCCGAGCTTGGCAAGGGAGTCGAATGCGTCGCGAATTTGCTTGTACGAAACGGCGCACTCGAAGAAACTCCACGCGTCTTGGGCAACGGGGTCGGCATCAATCTCGGCCTTGAGGGCGGTGTCTTGCCAAATCTCAAAGATTTGATCGCGATAGGCGCGGAGGAAGTTGCGCAGATATGCGGTGATCTTGGGCAGTTGAGTGGCGGGTGTTGAGGCGATTGCCGTCAGCGCGCGAACGAGGTCGTAAGCCGAGACTTGGCCCATATCACCAAACGCGGTGGCAATCGTGGTCACGTACATGAAGAGTCAGTTGCAGGTCGTAGATGAAGAGTGATACAATATTGGCCATTGGTGTTTTTGTGTGTCGGGGTGGTTTGGTATCAAAGCAAAGAAGGTTCCTGCACTCACACAACCATGCACACAAATCATCCGCTCACGAGCATCGAGAATGCCGATAAACTTTACAATTGGCTTTGTTATTCTCAGAGCGACGGTCTTCAGATCATAACATATGCTGATACGCATCGCAACACACCAAAGCGAGATG